GATGTATAATATGTACACGTACATTAAGATTTGTGTTTGACGATTTACACCTGCTCTTACTCGCCATGTTATGTGTAGGGATACTACCCCTAACTCATGGTCTGAAAAGTCGGAAAAATGAAATTTTCGCAAATGCAACAAAAATGATCTTGGTGGTGCAGTTATGATATTCCGACATCAGGCAATAGGTTCTAGGCGTTATTTAAGCCCTAACGCTTCAGGCTGGGGTGTTTCGCTCACTAACCTACATATGTGTTGTATGCAGCATAAGCTATATGGCTGTGCTACAGCTGAAGGTCTCATATGAGGCTGGAGGCTCAACATTGCTATTGTGCATGGTTCAGCAATGCTTTGGCAAGTTTTCGCTGACCTTCATGCACAAAATTGGTTTGCTGGTCAACTGATTTCATTCATGCTGGTGGCTGCTTTTCAGTGTTCCATAGTAAGATCAGGTGTAGTGCGCAACCGTTATATTCTGTCATAACTTTCGAATTGCTGGATGGATTTCGAAGATTCTTAGTTATTTTTTGTGCACAATTGCGTGATCTATTGAATAAAATAATAATCAAACGATTTTATTTATCAGAAAATGAATTTCCAATTTCTCATTTTCTAAAGAAAGTCCGAGAGAATTTCAGTTTTTGACCAAAACGTTTTTTTCAACAAATGCATAGTAATGTGTTATAATTTTTCAGATAGATATTTGCAAGAGAAATCGAATAAAAATCTAATGAACGAAATCGGCCAAGCCATTCAAAAGTTATGGTCAAAAGTGTGTTCACGAAATTCGCTGTCTCGGACATTTCTATAGGATTTTGCCGCTCGGACTTTCTATGGGAATTTTCAAGTCAAATTTTCCTTCATAATTTTTGAATGGATTAATACTTTTGTAATGGGGTTTCTTTGTGTTACTTATCTCATTGAGTTCTATTCAATGATGTATAATATGTACACATACATTGAGATTTGTGTTTGACGGTTTACACCTGCTCTTACTCGCCATGTTATGTGTAGGGATACTACCCCTAACTCATGGTCTGAAAAGTCGGAAAAATGAAATTTTCGCAAATGCAACAAAAAATGATCTTGGTGGTGCAGTTATGATATTCCGACATCAGGCAATAGGTTCTAGGCGTTATTTAAGCCCTAACGCTTCAGGCTGGGGTGTTTCGCTCACTAACCTACATATGTGTTGTATGCAGCATAAGCTATATGGCTGTGTACAGCTGAAGGTCTCATATGAGGCTGGAGGCTCAACATGCTATTGTGCATGGTTCAGCAATGCTTTGGCAAGTTTCGCTGACTGTTCATGCACAAAATTGGTTTGCTGGTCAACTGATTTCATTCATGCTGGTGGCTGCTTTTCAGTGTTCCATAGTAAGATCAGGTGTAGTGCGCAACCGTTATATTCTGTCATAACTTTCGAATTGCTGGATGGATTTCGAAGATTCTTAGTTTATTTTGTGCACAATTGCGTGATCTATTGAATAAAATAATAATCAAACGATTTTATTTATCAGAAAATGAATTTCCAATTTCTCATTTTTCTAAAGAAAGTCCGAGAGAATTTCAGTTTTTGACCAAAACGTTTTTTTCAACAAATGCATAGTAATGTGTTATAATTTTCAGATAGATATTTGCAAGAGAAATCGAATAAAAATCTAATGAACGAAATCGGCCAAGCCATTCAAAAGTTATGGTCAAAAGTGTGTTCACGAAATTCGCTGTCTCGGACATTTCTATAGGATTTTGCCGCTCGGACTTTCTATGGGAATTTTCAAGTCAAATTTTCCTTCATAATTTTTGAATGGATTAATACTTTTGTAATGGGGTTTCTTTTGTGTTACTTATCTAATTGAGTTCTATTCAATGATGTATAATATGTACACGTACATTAAGATTTGTGTTTGACGATTTACACCTGCTCTTACTCGCCATGTTATGTGTAGGGATACTACCCCTAACTCATGGTCTGAAAAGTCGGAAAAATGAAATTTTCGCAAATGCAACAAAAATGATCTTGGTGGTGCAGTTATGATATTCCGACATCAGGCAATAGGTTCTAGGCGTTATTTAAGCCCTAACGCTTCAGGCTGGGGTGTTTCGCTCACTAACCTACATATGTGTTGTATGCAGCATAAGCTATATGGCTGTGTACAGCTGAAGGTCTCATATGGGGCTGGAGGCTCAACATTGCTATTGTGCATGGTTCAGCAATGCTTTGGCAAGTTTCGCTGACTGTTCATGCACAAAATTGGTTTGCTGGTCAACTGATTTCATTCATGCTGGTGGCTGCTTTTTCAGTGTTCCATAGTAAGATCAGGTGTAGTGCGCAACCGTTATATTCTGTCATAACTTTCGAATTGCTGGATGGATTTCGAAGATTCTTAGTTTATTTTGTGCACAATTGCGTGATCTATTGAATAAAATAATAATCAAACGATTTTATTTATCAGAAAATGAATTTCCAATTTCTCATTTTTCTAAAGAAAGTCCGAGAGAATTTCAGTTTTTGACCAAAACGTTTTTTTCAACAAATGCATAGTAATGTGTTATAATTTCTGAGATAGATATTTGCAAGAGAAATCGAATAAAAATCTAATGAACGAAATCGGCCAAGCCATTCAAAAGTTATGGTCAAAAGTGTGTTCACGAAATTCGCTGTCTCGGACATTTCTATAGGATTTTGCCGCTCGGACTTTCTTTAGAATTTTCAAGTCAAATTTTCCTTCATAATTTTTGAATGGATTAATACTTTTGTAATGGGGTTTCTTTTGTGTTACTTATCTAATTGAGTTCTATTCAATGATGTATAATATGTACACGTACATTAAGATTTGTGTTTGACGATTTACACCTGCTCTTACTCGCCATGTTATGTGTAGGGATACTACCCCTAACTCATGGTCTGAAAAGTCGGAAAAATGAAATTTTCGCAAATGCAACAAAAATGATCTTGGTGGTGCAGTTATGATATTCCGACATCAGGCAATAGGTTCTAGGCGTTACTTAAGCCCTAACGCTTCAGGCTGGGGTGTTTCGCTCACTAACCTACATATGTGTTGTATGCAGCATAAGCTATATGGCTGTGTACAGCTGAAGGTCTCATATGAGGCTGGAGGCTCAACATTGCTATTGTGCATGGTTCAGCAATGCTTTGGCAAGTTTCGCTGACTGTTCATGCACAAAATTGGTTTGCTGGTCAACTGATTTCATTCATGCTGGTGGCTGCTTTTCAGTGTTCCATAGTAAGATCAGGTGTAGTGCGCAACCGTTATATTCTGTCATAACTTTCGAATTGCTGGATGGATTTCGAAGATTCTTAGTTTATTTGTGCACAATTGCGTGATCTATTGAATAAAATAATAATCAAACGATTTTATTTATCAGAAAATGAATTTCCAATTTCTCATTTTTCTAAAGAAAGTCCGAGAGAATTTCAGTTTTTGACCAAAACGTTTTTTTCAACAAATGCATAGTAATGTGTTATAATTTCTGAGATAGATATTTGCAAGAGAAATCGAATAAAAATCTAATGAACGAAATCGGCCAAGCCATTCAAAAGTTATGGTCAAAAGTGTGTTCACGAAATTCACTGTCTCGGACATTTCTATAGGATTTTGCCGCTCGGACTTTCTATGGGAATTTTCAAGTCAAATTTTCCTTCATAATTTTTGAATGGATTAATACTTTTGTAATGGGGTTTCTTTTGTGTTACTTATCTAATTGAGTTCTATTCAATGATGTATAATATGTACACGTACATTAAGATTTGTGTTTGACGATTTACACCTGCTCCTACTCGCCATGTTATGTGTAGGGATACTACCCCTAACTCATGGTCTGAAAAGTCGGAAAAATGAAATTTTCGCAAATGCAACAAAAATGATCTTGGTGGTGCAGTTATGATATTCCGACATCAGGCAATAGGTTCTAGGCGTTATTTAAGCCCTAACGCTTCAGGCTGGGGTGTTTTGCTCACTAACCTACATATGTGTTGTATGCAGCATAAGCTATATGGCTGTGTACAGCTGAAGGTCTCATATGAGGCTGGAGGCTCAACATTGCTATTGTGCATGGTTCAGCAATGCTTTGGCAAGTTTCGCTGACTGTTCATGCACAAAATTGGTTTTGCTGGTCAACTGATTTCATTCATGCTGGTGGCTGCTTTTCAGTGTTCCATAGTAAGATCAGGTGTAGTGCGCAACCGTTATATTCTGTCATAACTTTCGAATTGCTGGATGGATTTCGAAGATTCTTAGTTTATTTTGTGCACAATTGCGTGATCTATTGAATAAAATAATAATCAAACGATTTTATTTATCAGAAAATGAATTTCCAATTTCTCATTTTTCTAAAGAAAGTCCGAGAGAATTTCAAATTTTGACCAAAACTTTTTTTTCAACAAATGCATAGTAATGTGTTATAATTTTTCAGATAGATATTTGCAAGAGAAATCGAATAAAAATCTATTGAACGAAATCGGCCAAGCCATTCAAAAGTTATGGTCAAAAGTGTGTTCACGAAATTCGCTGTCTCGGACATTTCTATAGGATTTTGCCGCTCGGACTTTCTATGGGAATTTTCAAGTCAAATTTTCCTTCATAATTTTTGAATGGATTAATACTTTTGTAATGGGGTTTCTTTTGTGTTGCTTATCTAATTGAGTTCTATTCAATGATGTATAATATGTACACGTACATTAAGATTTGTGTTTGACGATTTACACCTGCTCTTACTCGCCATGTTATGTGTAGGGATTCAAATGGTTCAAATGGTTCAAATGGTTGCGGACGGAATAGAAGAAGCTTTCGCTTAACAGGCTTCCGTGTCTAGTAGCAGTGGATCACCAATACTGCCAGGCAAGAACCTAGGTATATTAACGATAAAAGAGAAAGAAAATGAATTGGTAAATCATAGTAGGATACTATCCTTAGTCCTTAAGAATAGATCAAGTCGCCTCTTAAAGGACTCCTGGGAAGTTGCTTGGACTAGCTCAGCTGGCAGCGAGTTCCAGCATTTGACAACTCTTAAGGAGTAGAAATTGTGTCTGCAGTCCGTTCTACTATGTTGTATCTCCAGTTTTTGGGTGTTACCCCTTAGGTTAGTGTTGGGACTAAGCTTAATTAGGTGTTTAAGAGGGTGTCCAGGTGTGTTAAGGATACTGTAAGCCATTAGAATGTCACCTCTAAGACGCCTATACTCTAATGGGTAAAGGTCGAGTGATTGGAGGCGCTCATCGTAAGGTTTAAATTTGAGTCCCCGAACTGATTTCGTGGCTCGCCGTTGGATACGCTCCAGAGTGTCCTTATCCTTTTGGAGTGTAGGAGGGAATACTATGTTCCCGTACTCTAAATGGGGACGAATGAAACTATTGAAGATTATGTGAAAAGTTCTCCCGTCAAACTGACCAAAAATGCGCTTCAATGTTACCAGTGCAAGGTTTGCTCTAAAGGCATTTTTGTCACAGTTGGCGTAAGACTTTAAGTCGTAGGGCACCAGAACTCCTAAATCTTTTTCGACTCGGGATACTACTAGAGAGGAGTTTCCTAAGTTGTAACTGTAATCTGCGACGTGTCGCAGATGGACTACTTTACACTTTGAAGTGTTAAAGGTAAGTCCGTTGTTGTCTGCCCAACTTTGAAGTCGAGTCAGATCCTCCTGAAGTGCCTGTATGTCCTCTTGGTTGCGTATCTCTCTCCAAAGTTTCACGTCATCGGCAAAGAGCAGTATGTCTGACGTTACCTGTTGAGGAAGATCATTTATATAAATCAGGAAGAGGAGAGGTCCTAGTACTGAGCCCTGGGGGACCCCACTAGAACATTCCATAGCGCGTGAGAAATTGAAGTTTACCCTGACCTTAAAATGTCGACTTGTGAGGTATGAACTGAGCCAGTCAATTAAAGGTGGTTTGATTCCCAATTGTTTGAGCTTGTTAATAAGACATGTGTGGTTAACCCTATCGAAAGCTTTAGAGAAATCAAGGTAAATGATGTCTACCTTCCCCTTGCGATCAACGATGCTTGTCCATCTGTCCACCGCGGTCAGCAGGTTCGTCATACAGGAATAACCCTTCCTGAAACCATGCTGTTGGGGTGAGAAGAAATTTAAGGACAGCAGATAGTCATGTATATCATCGTATACCAGGGACTCCATGATCTTTGAAGGTATAGAGAGAAGGGCCACCGGTCGGTAACTTGAAGGTTCACTGCGTCGACCTCCTTTGAAGATTGGTGTGATATGAGCCAGCTTCCAAATATCCGGTAGTTTGCCCCGACTTAGCGAGTGTGAGAACATCACGCTAAGCGGTGTTGCTAGGATTAAAGCTGCTTCCCTCAGTATAGCAGAGTGGACCATATCTGGACCAGGAGAAGTGTCTGTTCTTAGGTGTTGTAGTTTACGGTACACCAAGTCAGCACTCAGTTTCACTACGGAAAGTCCTGTGCAGTTGCAGACAGAGCCGACATCAGTATAGTTGATGTGGGTCGGCTGAAATGTCCGGGAGTAGTGCTCAGCCAGAAGGTTAGCGGCGTCACCGTCATTATCTGTCGGGCCGTTAGGACCTAGCAGTTGAGAAACTCCAGTTTTGGCTTGACGAAGAGAGGCTGCATAACGGAATAAGCTTTTCGGATTGGAAATAAATTTGTCCATAAGCTTTAACTGGTACTGAAGCCTGTCTTCTCTTATAGCCTTCGTACATATGTTCCTTATATGTTTGTATTGCCTGTACTCGCCGTTGTTGTTGGTTCGTTTGTATTCTGCCCAACAGTGCCTTTTACGGCTTAGCAAACGAAGAGTGCGTTTTTTGATGATTGTAGGTTGCTTGTGCCTTTTGGGGACCGTTTGAGGAACTGACTGCTTAGTAGCACATGAGAGCGTGCGCAGTAAGGAGTCCCAATGAGCATCCACATCAAGTTGAGGTTGAACATCCCAATCCACCTGTTGTAGATAATCCTGTAGAGCTGACGTATTCAACCGTTTGAAGTTCCAGCGCCTGTTGTTGTCGGGATATCTTAGCTCTGTTTTGCTGACGAAACTGAAGGCTATAACGGCGTGATCGCTCTTCCCCAGGGGAGCCAGAATTGAGAGGTTGTCGACTAGAAATTCTTCATTTGTAAAAACACAGTCTAAGCGCGACGGTGTCTGACCGTTTCTCCAACGAGTGTGCGACTTCACATTTTCGTGTAGTCCCAAGTCCTCAATGAGGTTGAAGAACCGAGCTTCGATTGAATTTTCACCTCCAGTATACGTATGTTCCGCGAAGTTGACTCTAGGAAGATTGAAGTCCCCTAGAATCAGGATATGAGTAAAGCCGAGACGCGTAGAGCGGGATAGTCCCTGCAGCATGCGACTGTCATACTCGATGTCGGCAGTGGGCTTCCTATATATGACTCCGACTAAGCACCTCGAAGTAGTGGACAATCTCATAGAGCACCATAGGGATTCCTCAAGATTGTCAAACTCGTGGTTGTGGATTTGATGTACCACCAGGCCAGATCTTATGTATAGGGCTACTCCACCCCCAATTCCTGTTTTTCTGTCATTGCGAAACAGAGACATCCCAGGTATTGCTAGCTCCTGGTCCGAATACTGAGGAGATATCCAAGTTTCAGATATTCCTATCAGATGAACTTTATTAGCGTTGCTGAGTTCACTTAGTTCATCCATTTTATTTGGTAGACTCGCGGCGTTCATGTATAAGCAGTTAATGCTTTCAATTTGAAACGCGTGAGCTTCTTCCTGTTTATCTATGAGAGCCTTGCGTGAGTGGACAGGTAACCCACCTATATAAGTTTTGTCTAATTGGTAGGCCCTGTCCTTTACACGTTTTTTTTGTCTTGAAGACAGTCCACAAGTGGAATGGTCAGTTCCAGCTCGCCTTTGTGCTTGATCCTGGCGTCGTATGGCCTATCCGGGTGCATATGGATCCCAGTTGGCAACCGACGTCTGTTGACACGAAATGCTTCCAGAGTTGCAGCCGCCATATGGGAGGATGGAAAAGTTATCCTCAATAGTCGGGGTCTAGGATCCCCATCCTTCTTGGCTAGTCTCATCACATGCTGAGACAGTATGTTTTTAAGCCTCAAGGACTGTTTGATGAATTTCCATTCCCGAATGTCAGAGTTTGCTTGAGTAGGGTCCATGTTTTCCGGTACACCTTGCACGATGATATTTCTTCCGCGGAAAAACTTCTCTCGAGAATCTTTAGGGACGTTTCGGATGAGATTGCGCTCAGAATATGGTATGTCAGGCAGTATTCTGACGTTCCCATCGGATTTCAGTAGATGACTGGCCAGCAGGACATCCTCTACTTCGGTAGCATTCTTGAGTGTTACACGGAGTAGTCTCGGATGATTTTGGTGTTTAGAATCCTTTCCCCGAGTGAGCCGTGTGACCGTCAAAGGCTCTATTCTAGGGAGTTCGAGCTTTTTGTTCAGTTCACCCCAAAGCATCCTGTCATTTTTGTCCTGCAAACTGAGAGGAAGGTCAGGATTGTCTATGAGGTTCATGATTATGAGGGAGTCATCACGGACCGTTGTTGTTTTCCCAGCTCTTCCAGTGCGTTCAGATTCAGTACGTTGTTGTTTGGAGGTCGAAGCAGGTTTTTGAATCGTAGGCTTTTTAATAACCGGGCGGACATTTTTGGGGGTAGACTGAGCGATCAAAGCACCAGTTGATGTCCGTACAACACTTGGGATGTCAACCTTGGACGGTGACACCTGGTCCTTATTAGCTCTGATGGCGTGGTTACAGTCACCTGCCGAGTTTTTAGGAACCACCGTTGCGTTTGAGGACCCTGAACTGGGAGATCCAATTTTAGTGAGGGAATCAATTATTGTCGACGTAATGATGGTGCTGAGTTTCAACATGTCATCATTAGTGCTAATGCGCGTTCCATCGATGGTTGACTTGTCAACATCTCTGTTCTTATTTTCGTTACGCGCCCTCGTTTGCCTACCTATTTTATGGCTATCTGTTTCCAAGTTTACTGACAATTTGTTCCGCAGACCTGTCAGTAGAACAATGATATTGCTCAGCAGCACTACAGCGTCCGTGTTGCACGTGACGCACACCCACTTACGGTCCGATTTGCTGAGTCTTTTGTAAGCCGTTGCCGTAAGATCTGTGCACGTTTCGTGAAACCAACCTTTGCAGTTGTCACACTGCATGCCAGATGTAACAGCGAAACGGCATCCAGGTCTTTTACATGAATTTTTCATGGCTGTATTTACGTAAACTGTGCTTAAGACCGTTAAAAATACACTAAAAACCACACTAAAACGGGAAAAATGTATAAAAACGGATGAGATAAAATGAAATAGCCTTTACGTGAAAAACTGAAAATAAACCGAATAGTAAGCTGAGGCAAAACCGCAGTTAACTATTAAATTGGGTGAAACTCAAAAAAAAGTAATCTACCGAACTTGTAGCTCAGAATAGATTGTTTAGATCAGAAATGGTACTTTTGTTGCGTAAGAACACAGCAAAAGTTTGAGAAATGCAAACCACGTTAGGACTAAACTTCCCGTTCGAAAAGCGCGCTGACTGTTCATGCACAAAATTGGTTTGCTGGTCAACTGATTTCATTCATGCTGGTGGCTGCTTTTCAGTGTTCCATAGTAAGATCAGGTGTAGTGCGCAACCGTTATATTCTGTCATAACTTTCGAATTGCTGGATGGATTTCGAAGATTCTTAGTTTATTTTGTGCACAATTGCGTGATCTATTGAATAAAATAATAATCAAACGATTTTATTTATCAGAAAATGAATTTCCAATTTCTCATTTTTCTAAAGAAAGTCCGAGAGAATTTCAGTTTTTGACCAAAACGTTTTTTTTCAACAAATGCATAGTAATGTGTTATAATTTTTCAGATAGATATTTGCAAGAGAAATCGAATAAAAATCTAATGAACGAAATCGGCCAAGCCATTCAAAAGTTATGGTCAAAAGTGTGTTCACGAAATTCGCTGTCTCGGACATTTCTATAGGATTTTGCCGCTCGGACTTTCTATGGGAATTTTCAAGTCAAATTTTCCTTCATAATTTTTGAATGGATTAATACTTTTGTAATGGGGTTTCTTTTGTGTTACTTATCTAATTGAGTTCTATTCAATGATGTATACTATGTACACGTACATTAAGATTTGTGTTTGACGATTTACACCTGCTCTTACTCGCCATGTTATGTGTAGGGATACTACCCCTAACTCATGGTCTGAAAAGTCGGAAAAATGAAATTTTCGCAAATGCAACAAAAATGATCTTGGTGGTGCAGTTATGATATTCCGACATCAGGCAATAGGTTCTAGGCGTTATTTAAGCCCTAACGCTTCAGGCTGGGGTGTTTCGCTCACTAACCTACATATGTGTTGTATGCAGCATAAGCTATATGGCTGTGTACAGCTGAAGGTCTCATATGGGGCTGGAGGCTCAACATTGCTATTGTGCATGGTTCAGCAATGCTTTGGCAAGTTTCGCTGACTGTTCATGCACAAAATTGGTTTGCTGGTCAACTGATTTCATTCATGCTGGTGGCTGCTTTTCAGTGTTCCATAGTAAGATCAGGTGTAGTGCGCAACCGTTATATTCTGTCATAACTTTCGAATTGCTGGATGGATTTCGAAGATTCTTAGTTTATTTTGTGCACAATTGCGTGATCCATTGAATAAAAGAATAATCAAAAGATTTTATTTATCAGAAAATGAATTTCCAATTTCTCGTTTTTCTATAGTAAGTCCGAGAGAATTTCAGTTTTTGACCAAAACATTTTTTTCAACAAATGTATAGTAATGTGTTATAATTTTTCAGATAGATATTTGCAAGAGAAATCGAATAAAAATCTAATGAACGAAATCGGCCAAGCCATTCAAAAGTTATGGTCAAAAGTGTGTTCACGAAATTCGCTGTCTCGGACATTTCTATAGGATTTTGCCGCTCGGACTTTCTATGGGAATTTTCAAGTCAAATTTTCCTTCATAACTTTTGAATGGATTAATATTTTTGTAATGGGGTTTCTTTTGTGTTACTTATCTAATTGGGTTCTATTCAATGATGTATAATATGTACACGTACATTAAGATTTGTGTTTGACGATTTACACCTGCTCTCACTCGCCATGTTATATATAGGGATACTACCCCTAACTCATGGTCTGAAAAGTCGGAAAAATGAAATTTTCGCAAATGCGACAAAAATGATCTTGGTGGTGCGGTTATAATATTCCGACATCAGACAATAGGTTTTAGGCGTTATTTAAGCCCTAACGCTTCAGGCTGGGGTATTTCGCTTACTACCCTACATATGTGTTGTATGCAGTATAAGCTATATGGCTGTGTAGAGCTGAAGGTCTCATATGAGGCTGGAGGCTCGCCATTGCTATTGTGCATGGTTCAGCAATGCTTTGGCAAGTTTCGCTGACTGTTCATGCACAAAATTGGTTTGCTGGTTAACTGATTTCATTCATGCTGGTGGCTGCTTTTCAGTGTTCCATAGTAAGAAGAGGTGTAGTGCACAACTGTTATATTCTGTCATAACTTTCGAATGGCTGGATGGATTTCGAAGATTCTTAGTTTATTTTGTGCACAATTGCGTGATCTATTGAATAAAAAAATAATCAAAAGATTTTATTTATCAGAAAATGAATTTCAAATTTCTCATTTTTCCATAGAAAGTCCGAGAGAATTTCAGTTTTTGACCAAAACATTTTTTTCAACAAATGTATAGTAATGTGTTATAATTTTTCAGATAGATATTTGCAAGAGAAATCGAATAAAAATCTAATGAACGAAATCGGCCAAGCCATTCAAAAGTTATGGTCAAAAGTGTGTTCACGAAATTCGCTGTCTCGGACATTTCTATAGGATTTTGCCGCTCGGACTTTCTATGGGAATTTTCAAGTCAAATTTTCCTTCATAATTTTTGAATGGATTAATACTTTTGTAATGGGGTTTCTTTTGTGTTACTTATCTAATTGAGTTCTATTCAATGATGTATAATATGTACACGTACATTAAGATTTGTGTTTGACGATTTACACCTGCTCTCACTCGCCATGTTATGTGTAGGGATACTACCCCTAACTCATGGTCTGAAAAGTCGGAAAAATGAAATTTTCGCAAATGCAACAAAAATGATCTTGGTGGTGCAGTTATGATATTCCGACATCAGGCAATAGGTTCTAGGCGTTACTTAAGCCCTAACGCTTCAGGCTGGGGTGTTTCGCTCACTAACCTACATATGTGTTGTATGCAGCATAAGCTATATGGCTGTGTACAGCTGAAGGTCTCATATGAGGCTGGAGGCTCAACATTGCTATTGTGCATGGTTCAGCAATGCTTTGGCAAGTTTCGCTGACTGTTCATGCACAAAATTGGTTTGCTGGTCAACTGATTTCATTCATGCTGGTGGCTGCTTTTCAGTGTTCCATAGTAAGATCAGGTGTAGTGCGCAACCGTTATATTCTGTCATAACTTTCGAATTGCTGGATGGATTTCGAAGATTCTTAGTTTATTTTGTGCACAATTGCGTGATCTATTGAATAAAATAATAATCAAACGATTTTATTTATCAGAAAATGAATTTCCAATTTCTCATTTTTCTAAAGAAAGTCCGAGAGAATTTCAGTTTTTGACCAAAACGTTTTTTTCAACAAATGCATAGTAATGTGTTATAATTTTTCAGATAGATATTTGCAAGAGAAATCGAATAAAAATCTAATGAACGAAATCGGCCAAGCCATTCAAAAGTTATGGTCAAAAGTGTGTTCACGAACTTCGCTGTCTCGGACATTTCTATAGGATTTTGCCGCTCGGACTTTCTATGGGAATTTTCAAGTCAAATTTTCCTTCATAATTTTTGAATGGATTAATACTTTTGTAATGGGGTTTCTTTTGTGTTACTTATCTAATTGAGTTCTATTCAATGATGTATACTATGTACACGTACATTAAGATTTGTGTTTGACGATTTACACCTGCTCTTACTCGCCATGTTATGTGTAGGGATACTACCCCTAACTCATGGTCTGAAAAGTCGGAAAAATGAAATTTTCGCAAATGCAACAAAAATGATCTTGGTGGTGCAGTTATGATATTCCGACATCAGGCAATAGGTTCTAGGCGTTATTTAAGCCCTAACGCTTCAGGCTGGGGTGTTTCGCTCACTAACCTACATATGTGTTGTATGCAGCATAAGCTATATGGCTGTGTACAGCTGAAGGTCTCATATGAGGCTGGAGGCTCAACATTGCTATTGTGCATGGTTCAGCAATGCTTTGGCAAGTTTCGCTGACTGTTCATGCACAAAATTGGTTTGCTGGTCAACTGATTTCATTCATGCTGGTGGCTGCTTTTCAGTGTTCCATAGTAAGATCAGGTGTAGTGCGCAACCGTTATATTCTGTCATAACTTTCGAATTGCTGGATGGATTTCGAAGATTCTTAGTTTATTTTGTGCACAATTGCGTGATCTATTGAATAAAATAATAATCAAACGATTTTATTTATCAGAAAATGAATTTCCAATTTCTCATTTTTCTAAAGAAAGTCCGAGAGAATTTCAGTTTTTGACCAAAACGTTTTTTTCAACAAATGCATAGTAATGTGTTATAATTTTTCAGATAGATATTTGCAAGAGAAGTCGAATAAAAATCTAATGAACGAAATCGGCCAAGCCATTCAAAAGTTATGGTCAAAAGTGTGTTCACGAACTTCGCTGTCTCGGACATTTCTATAGGATTTTGCCGCTCGGACTTTCTATAGGAATTTTCAAGTCACATTTTCCTTCATAACTTTTGAATGGATTAACATGTTTGTAATGGGGTTTCTTTTGTGTTACTTTTCTATTTGAATTCTAATCAACGATGTACACTATGTACACGTACATTAAGATTTGTGTTTGACGATTTACACCTGCTCTCACTCGCCATGTTATATATAGGGATACTACCCCTAACTCATGGTCTGAAAAGTCGGAAAAATGAAATTTTCGCAAATGCGACAAAAATGATCTTGATGGTGCGGTTATAATATTCCGACATCAGACAATAGGTTTTAGGCGTTATTTAAGCCGTAACGCTTCAGGCTGGGGTATTTCGCTCACTACCCTACATATGTGTTGTATGCAGCATAAGCTATATGGCTGTGTAGAGCTGAAGGTCTCATATGAGGCTGGAGGCTCGCCATTGCTATTGTGCATGGTTCAGCAATGCTTTGGCCAGTTTCGCTGACTGTTCATGCACAAAATTGGTTTGCTGGTCAACTGATTTCATTCATGCTGGTGGCTGCTTTTCAGTGTTCCATAGTAAGACCAGGTGTAGTGCACAACTGATATATTCTGTCATAACTTTCGAATGTCTGGATGGATTTCGAAGATTCTTAGTTTATTTTGTGCACAATTGCGTGATCCATTGAATAAAAGAATAATCAAAAGATTTTATTTATCAGAAAATGAATTTCCAATTTCTCATTTTTCTAAAGAAAGTCCGAGAGAATTTCAGTTTTTGACCAAAACGTTTTTTTCAACAAATGCATAGTAATGTGTTA